TTATATTAGGGATGGCGAGAAAGACGAATTGGGTTTAGGGATAAGATAGAAATCAAAATCAAAATCTATCTCATAATCTGAAGCGATAACCCAAATCGATTTCATCAAAATATCTAGTCGGTCATGGGTATGAAAATCGATTGGGATTGGGTTTGGGTTTAGATTAGGGAGGCGATAAAACAGGGAATTTGTTTTATGGATGGCGATAAGAAGGATTGGTTTTAGGGATGTCTAACAAAGGAGAAGAAGTGATGAAACATGTTTTTTCAACCAACCAACCAGCTAGCCGACCTGAATGGACCAAGGCTCTTTAATTTAGTAAAATGAAATTATTTGAAAATTCTGCAAGCTAAAGAATTAGGACCACAAGCAGACAGTTAAGTGCATAATAAGTTCAAAGTATCACTCTTGTCCCCACATCTCCATCTCCCAACCACATACCTTTATTCCCATTAATCCATTGCATCAAGTATATGTTAGACACCAGTAAGGCGTACATATCCTTACAGTAAGAAACTATGGGTTTCAATTTAATGTTTTTACCAGGATTACACTACTGCTTTTGCTTCAGGCCTTCAATGATGCTGCCTCTTTAGATTGTTGTTTCAATGATGCTGCCTCTTGTCTATTTTGGTGCCTAAGAGTTGATGCTTTTAGACTGTGGATTACTGAGCAATGAACCAATAGATTCCATCTGTGGTTTCAAAGCTGTTATTTGAGCTCAGAAAGCCTATAAACCAACAAGCAATTGGTAGGGGAACTTAATTATCTAWCTGTTACTTGAYTGTATCTTGCTTACTTGCTACATATACATGTTAGTGGGATGCAGTTCTTCAGATTTTTGGTATCTCATAGCCTCTCTAGGCAAAGGGATCTTGTATTTTGAACAAGGCCATTGTAGAGTTGATGCTTTCATCGAGGATGTGTCAGAAAAGATAAGATTGCTGGACTTTTAGATGCARATTGGACAGGTTGCCACATGACTTGTCTTTCCACTGCTGGTTACTATGTCTACTC